AGGGGAAGAGGAGGTGAGGCTGGACTCGCAAGTCATCCCTAGGAGAGGGAGTTTTAAGTACCTTGGGTCTATTATTCAGGGGGATGGGGAGATTGATGAAGATGTTACACATCGTATTGGGGCGGTATGGATGAAATGGAGACTCGATTCCGGTGTTTTGTGTGACAAGAAGGTGCCACCAAAACCTATGGGTAAGTTTTACAGAGTGGTAGTCAGACCAACGATGTTGTATGGGGCTGAGTGTAGGTCAGTCAAGATCGCTCATGTCTAGAAGATGAAGGTAGCAGAGATGAGGATGTTGAGATGTATGTGCGGCCACACCATGTTAGATAGGATCAGAAATGAGGTTATTCGCAATAAGGTGGGTGAGCTTAGGTGGTTTGGTCATGTGAGGAGGAGGAGCACAGACGCCCCGGTGAGGAGGTGTGAGAGGTTGACATTGGAGGGCCTACGGAGAGGTAAAGGTAAGCCAAAGAAGAGGTGATTAGGCAAGACATGGCGCAACTTCAGCTGACCAGGGACATGACCCTTGATAGGAAGGTATGGATGTCGAGGATTAGAGTAGTAGAGTAGGTAGTCTAGAGTGTTCATAACAGTAGTATTGGCACGCAATCTCGCTTTCTGTTAGTAGTTGGTTTTTATGACTAACCATTGTTTTCTTTCATTGTTGATCACCTTATTGTCTTGTTGTTTTTATTCTGCTTTTATATGGCTTTTTGGTATTGTTCCTTCTTGTCTATATTTTCATTAATGTGATACTTATGATTTCCTGAGCCGAGGGTCTATTGGAAACAGTCTCTCTATCCTTACAAGGTAGGGAGGGGTAAGGTCTGCGTACACACTACCCTCCCCAGACCTCACAATGTGGGATAATACTGGTATGTTGTTGTTATTGGGTTCCTACACGATCTCAGATTAATATACACTAATAATTAGACCAATGAACTGGGTTCCAAGCTAAATATTCTTATAAAATTAATGATTTTAATTTTAAAAAAACAGGGTCTAGGCAGGTTACTGGGTTCACGTGAACACGTACCTATTGCATTAGATCCGTCCCTGTAATTAAGAGAAATAACTTTTAAAAAAATACCATGAATTTTGCTCAAACTAAACATAATGAATTAAATAGAAATAAAAAAATCTAATTGGGATATAGTTAGACATTCAAAAAGGAAATAAGATGAAAATGGTATATCATAACTAAATAAAAATTAGGAATATTAACTTACATCAGAATTCACCTCAATTTCACAGGTGATGGTGAGCTATATATACACAGGTGGAGAAGCTAACACTAACCCAAAATTGCTGCAGCCACTGCAAGTTGAATTGCTCATTGCATAAAATTCTCCAAAACTAACAGTCTAACAATGCACATCTGATATACAATTTTTATACACCAACTTGAACTCTTCCGCAACAAGCTGATAGCGGATTCATCTAAGCGCGGTTGAAGGTTCCAGGGAGAGACTAGTCGTGCCAAAATTACGATGCCTACCATCAGCAATGTTTGTTAGCGGAAAGCCATAATCAGGAAGTTGGTTTATTAGAAGAGTTTCCAGTTGACAGGCTATGCTCTTGCCAGGGACTAAGAAATATAGGAAAGAAGCATTTTCCATTCCCTCCTTCAACCGATGAGCACGGATTCGGCCCTCAAGATCATCAGTCTGTACAAATAATAGAGAAAGAAAATGTTAAGCTATAGTATGTAAATTGAAGTAATAGTTCAAAATAACCAAAAGGACTACTAGCTTTTGCAGATGTGCCCATAGGATTCATTTGGATAAGTAAATGATATCTGTCTGTTGGACCATTCATTTCAAAACATCTTTGAACACAAGTACCTCCACAAATTTGAAAAAGCATTTCAAAGAAAAGAAACTTCTGAAAAATAGCGAAACAATTTATAAGAACAAAATGGGCTCAATTCTTCATGAGATGCAAATGTGCAATGCTTCCTCCAACTCGTAAAGCATCTTGATACAATTTAACATCACATAAAACAATTGATTCGACAGCATATGGTTGCACTTTAGGAAGGGAAAAACGTACCTGTCCAACGTAAAAATTTTTGTCAGGTCTTAACATTATATATACGCTTGAAGCACCAATTGTTGATGGAGCTGGCTGTTCCCTGGCAGCAATGAGAACACACTTCACCGCTGCCACTTCTGACGCATTTTTCACTTTACACAGCTCGAATAACTTCTTGTGACAGATAAGAGAGATAGCATCTTCAAGTTCCTTGCTTGCACTTCCCATTCGCTGCATTAATTTTGTGCTAGAATCCAAAGCTATTTGTCTTGCACCATTTAATTGGTCAGAGATTTTATCTGTGCTATTGAGGTCAAAATCTGAACAAACAGGTCTTATTTGGTCTTTCTTCTTTGATATCTGATTCACATAAACTGAATTATACAATACTTCTGCTCTTCGAATCAATATTTCTGGAATTCCTTCTCTCTGAGCTGTTTCAAATGCTAGACTCTCTTTACAGACCCCATCAATAAGTTTCCAAGTTGGTATTGTTTGACCGTCAACATACTCAGTTCCCATTGCTTTATACACAGTCCTCTTGGTTTTCAGGGGTAAATCAAAAATTCCATGCAAGTGGGTTGATACAATTCCCAAACAACCAATTGCGTCCAGGGTTTCTATAACACTTCCAGCAATACATGTCCCTTTGGCCGTTTCTGTTCCTCGACATATTTCATCTATAAGCACAAGACTTCTTAAAGTGGCACCAGTAACCAGAGAACGAATTTCAGACATTTCAATCTGAGACATGTTAGACAGCTGAGAGTCAGAATGTTGCCTTCAGAAAAGCCATGAGACACTACTATTTCAGCAAGGAAAAGTGAAAACTGATGAACAAAAATACCGACACCTAGAGTCAAGATTATACACACAAAAGACTGAAATAGCTTCACTCTCAGAAAGAACATGTCATAAATGAAACTAACTCCGTTATCACCTAAAGATTAATCAAAGAGACATGCAAAAGAAGATGACTCCACAATTAGGACCAATAAAATAACTAGAAGAGAAATATTACCTTTTTGTATCATAAGAAAACTATAGTTGAAAACCAGAACTGCTAGGTACTAAAGATTTTTCTGCCAAGATGACCACAAAAAGTTCTTGTCATACATCCACTATACTAATCAATCCACTCTTCAGGGTGGAGAGGATAAGGAGATAAGTCGCACCGAAAAGTCTAACTAAATAATTCCAGGAATTATCCATCCCTCTTGACCATGGATTACAATCAAATACAAGTATTCTTAACAAGCTAAAATCATCAGGAGCAAGCAAATGCATGCAAAGAGTGAAACGCCTAGTTGCTACAATCGCGGCATGCATCATGATACAGCACCTATGTTTTTGTTCTGTTTCCTAATAAAGAACTAGGCTTCTAGCAAATAGGACGAGAAGAAAACCGTCTATGCTATAATTTCAAGAATATGGAACATACAATGTACCTGAAATGAACTTTTTCCATCAGCAGGACTATCATATGATTTCATATGCAGCATAATTGAATCAAAATGAGGAATGACAGCTGATTCAGCTGGAACCATGAATCCACACATTCCTAACAATGCAGCTGCACACAATGATCGCAGCAAGCTTGATTTGCCCCCACCATTTGGACCTGTCAAAAGAAACATTGACTGCATATCTACTGTATTCTGTACACCAGTACCTCGCGTTGCATCAAACCAATAAGGGGATAGACCAATTATCTTCATTCCCATAGTTCCATTAAGTGCCTTTGTGTCCTGCATTTTGATGTCATGTAATTGGAATAACACATAAATATATGAATACTTGCCCAAAGAATGAGACCAGTTAGATGTTATATGTTGCTCTTTATGCAATCTTCCACAAAAAGTACCACAGAGCACTAATGCACCAGTCAACCCAACCAAATTCTGAAAATGTATTCTCCTGCAACTAGTTGTGAAATTTTTCAAATTCATCTGGGGGATATGTGATGTGTTAATTTTATTCCAACCTTTGGAGCTTGGAGGTACTAATGTTTTAACACATCAAAGAAGTACAGATTCGGAGTACCTGACATTTGTTAAATTGTGTGATTGTTGGGAAAACCCAATTCCTTCTTCTCCCTTCGCTGATAAGAAACCAAGATTAAGATTATGAGCTCAAATCAGGGGAAAGGTAAACAAGAAAAGTGAAAAAGTAATGCAAAGTTCAAAACACATTCATATTCAGCTCTTCAAAATAAAAGCCTTTCGCCATTGGCAATTGATGAGAAAATTTCAGAAATTTAACAACTTTACTGCTTGAACTGGAGTTTATAATTTTAATCAAAAACCCATGACGGAATTTATGGATCTTAAGTAAGCATGATAATAATTATTTAAAATATCTGGAGATGGGACAAATGGCGTCTAGCAGCATCACTATGATTCTTTGTGTAGAGAAGTATTAAGTTGTTCATCAGTGCAAAGTCATATTTCTGAAAAGGAACCTTCCACATTATAGACTCATGATCCAGTTGCAAATACAAATGCAAATATCAGAAATAAAGTAAATATAAAAAAGATAACTACACTCTTTAGGGAGCTTTAGCCAACAAAAACTAGAAATTGCAGGACCCCCACCCCCAAAGGTGTGGAGGGGCAGAGAAGCAGCCCCTAAAGGAAGGGATGAAGAAACTGCTTTTTGATCAGTAGGATGGTGCCACTAACCTCACATGAGAAAATAATGCCTTTGTTATCACAATCAAGACGGACGCAAAGATAAGTATATTGATCTTAGATTGTAATTCAGAAGAAAGTCCCCTTAGCAATTCCAAGACCCTTGATTTTGCCTTAGCACTTGCGTCATGGTACCTGCGAAAGAGATCCAAAAAATTATTTAACAAAGAAAAAGAATTTCATTGTAAGACACAAATCAGCTTCAATGTAAATGTAACATAGGAACCTCGCTATTGCATCTTCCACCCTCATTGTAGTGAACCATTCTTCTCCAACCTTCTTCCCCTTTGAATCTATAGCAGGTCTGAGATGCTTAATTTGTTCTTCACCAGGCGTTCCAGCCCAAACAGTTGGAATAAATCGCTTCCCCTTAAACCATACAGCTTCATGCTCTCGAGCATACAGAATCTCCCCTTTGATTCCTCCAAGGGGGGCCGTAGTGGCCCTTATTCTTGAAACAATAGGCAGGAAATCTTCTGTTATCTAGAAAGAGAATGAAAGCCCACTTAAATATTTGTGAATTTGGTTGTCAAGTTCATTAGTATAAGATTCTTGTGTGCCCCTTTTTCCTTTTTCTTTTCTTTTTTCCTTTTTTTTTTTTGGCTTGGCTGGGATTCGGATCCGACTTCCACGGTTGCAGCTGCTATAAAGTACAGGTAGAACTTCTATAGCGTCAACATCTATTTGGCTGGAGCAATTAAAACTACTTTTTTCTGAAAACTTAAATTTTACAGATCACTCGTTTCAGACTCATGATTTCAATCTGGTTAGTCCCCCAGCAAAGCCATTATACACAAAAATATAGCTAGGTCAACCCCCCCCCCCCCCC